TATGTGAAATAAGCTAGTGATTTGTTGATAATGTGAAAGAGAATATCGTTTTTTAAATATAATGGTGTATTTCGCGACTATGTGAAATAAGCTAGTGATTTGTTGATAGTGTGATAGAGAATATCGTTTTTTAAATATAATAGTGTATTTCGCGACTATGTGAAATAAGTTAGTGATTTGTTGATAGTGTGATAGAGAATATCGTTTTTTAAATATAATGGTGTATTTCGCGACTATGTGAAATAAGTTAGTGATCTGTTGATAGTGTGATAGAGAATATCGTTTTTTAAATATAATGGTGTATTTCGCGACTATGTGAAATAAGCTAGTGATTTGTTGATAGTGTGATAGAGAATATCGTTTTTTAAATATAAAGGTGTATTTCGCGACTATGTGAAATGAGCTAGTGATCTGTTGATAGTGTGATATAATTTGGTGAATTTCTGATGGTGTGATAAAGAGTATCATTTTACTTGTTTTAACCAGTAAAAATGTGGTTTGCATTACAAGAAGTGCTATACCAGAACGTTTCTTGTTTTTGTTAAAGAATTAGTTGTCTTGCTCTCTTTGTTTTTCTTTTCCAATAGACTGAACAAGATAAAAGACAGAAATAAAATTTGTCTAGGATGGACGATTTTTTGGCTAACAACAAGATGTTGATGAAACAGCAGTCTCTAAATGCCAGTCATGTAATATTTTCTTTACGACGACGACTACGAGAACAAGACCAACTTATAATCCATCTTTGTAGTGAAAGAGATCGTGTTATAAGAGAAATACTTTCTAGTTTACTTTTTATAGAAGGCGAACTTAGAAAAGAACAAAAAGAGATCGTTTCTATACTGAAAGAAAAAGATCGCATTATACAAAAGACACAAAAGGAGCTGGAGTATTGGAGGACACGTTTTATATATCATGAGAATCAAGGCACATGGGAAAACTCTGCTACACCAATATCTGAAAATCAAATGTCTCAGCTCATTCAAAATAGCCTGGCACAGTATGTAAACGATAAGCCGGATCCTCTAAAAAAATCAGATGCTAATAGTTCGTGCAATAACGATGAACTGTTTATAAATGAACTTTCAGCCATTGACACCGTGGAATATACTACAAGTGATACAGAGGAAGTTAAGCACAAAATAGACTCCACAGAAACGAGTCTTGCTCAGAGTAACGAATTTTTGAAACAGAATATTGAGAGTGAAACAGAAGGCCTCTCTGACGCCGAATCCATTGTAGATTATTACTTGGATCAACAGCCACAAGAATTAGATAATTTTGAAAAGGATCAGGCTAAAAGTAAGCTTTCTCGAAGGAGATACCTGTTACATGGCAGTTACGAAAGGCTGACAGATATTGGACAGATGGGAGAAAAGCTTTTAAGCAACCAATTTAAAAGAATCTTGAGCAATCATCGATCAGTAGTAAGACCAAGAGATGTAAAATACAAGAAAATCTCTCGATCTCGCACGCAGGCTTTCGAGGAATTGAAGAGCAAATTACGACACATCAGTGAACCACGTCTGTAAAATCTTTAATGTAATAATTTGTTGAGTTTTGGTGGAGGTATGATTAACCTTTTTTTTTCATTTATCTAGTCTATAAAATAAGTTTATTACGTACAACTGTATTTTTTAAATCAACTTTGTTCCTATTAGAACAGTAAACTGCACACGTACATTTAATATATATGTATATATATATGTTATGTATACAGAAATTGCCATATTTTCTCCCCTTTTTTGTTGGCATGCTATATTAAAAATGAAAATATTTCATGAGTCTCGACACATTGATATTCATTTACAATATTGTTTATGATAATGTAGATAATTTAAATCAAGCCGTTTACTGAAAAAGTTAAATTATTCGTTTATGTAACCATCAACTCTGACTGCTTACTGACATCCTGAACTTTGCAATTACTAGACGTAGAACTCCAATAGTTACACTTAATTCTTTATTAAGGAAAAACATGATGAATGGATATTTTATTCATCCTAATATTACATCTGAAAGATTAAGGGATAATGTGTCTTTAAATAATAAACAGTTAAGTAAAATTGGAAACAAGCTTTAGTTACACAGTAAAAACAATGAAAAAGATATATATAATGAATAGTTAATAATGTTATTTTTTTAATATTCAAGGACACTGGATTTCGTAGTCGGATTTAAGATGACGTTTTTTATGGTTTCTTACTGACTTTCACCAATAGATGGCACTAATTAAGAATTACATTATGCGGAACTGTAAAAAAAAAAAAAGAAGATCTCTACAAAATATTGTATTTCCGAAACACCCTTTATTGATTTAGTTATCAATTATTGTACTAGTGAATAGCTGTCTGTTTTGGGTCGGCAGTGACATCATTCACCCTGTTATCGTATCTGAAATATATTAGTTGTAAACAAGTTGGTATTAACGCTAGACAGGTGAGTTATCTCACGTTTGTACATCACAATACGACTTGCTTACTAAAGAAAAACACAAAAGGTTTTTGAATATTATTGTTTCCGTCAAATTAACAATTTTACTATACTTTATGATCAAAAGTAAGCTAACTAGTTATATCAGAACTAGAAAAGTAGTTTAGAAATTAATGAAGAGAATTATGAATAATAAACTTACAAGATATAATACAATGTTTAGAAATTAATGAAGAGAATTATGAATAATAAACTTACAAAATATAATACAATGTTTAGAAATTAATGAAGAGAATTACGAATAATAAACTTACAAGATATAATACAATGTTTAGAAATTAATGAAGAGAATTACGAATAATAAACTTACAAGATATAATACAACGTTTAGAAATTAATGAAGAGAATTATGAATAATAAACTTACAAGATATAATACAATGTCATAAGTCAATCCGCAAGAATCCCCAGTAGCAGTCTTACAACGCTAGAATCCGGGTTTCGATACCCGTGGTGGGCAGAGCACAAATAGCCCTTTGTGTAGGTTTGTGCATAACTTCAAACAAGCAAAAATAAAAAACAACAACAATTGCTATGCACACGTTTCACAAGACGGCGAAGAATGATCGCAGTTATACGCCCTTCTAATTCTTGAAAATCCCTAAGAGACTAGATTAAAAATGTAGTGTTTAAAAATGTAATAGGCTTAATACTAATGTCTTATAAGAAGTATAATTAAGATCAACTATAAAGTCGTATATATATTTATACAAACTTTAACATCTTCGATAAGGAGTCATGCAACTTTATTTTTAAACGTGGTGTCAGAAACTTATGCTGTTTCTATATGGAATATATTGAAAAATTGAAATCAAGTAGTAAAGAAAATAGCTTAATTGCTCTTGTTTTTTTTGTTGTTTTTTTTACAGTACACGATACTTCGGGCTGTATATTAAGTAACGTTTTTGGAAGATAGAAATAACCTTTTGTTTTTCTTAAATTCTTTGTGACCAGCAGTTCAACTAGAACTTGTACACATGCAAAAATAAAAAACACGCTTGATAAAATTAACTGGAACTTACACTGGTTCACAATAGAAATAATTAATATTTGAGCATGAACAGCAACGTCAGGCATATCAGTGATGTTATCGCCCTCTAGTGAAGCATAAAAGAAACTTTTGATGTACAATACGCCGTGGTCATCAACAAGCTTTAATGAACCAGTTAGTGAAAAAGAAATAATTTTTCATTACTTTCTTACTTCTTAGGATTAATAATAAATAATTTTGTATAAAAAAATAAAATAAAATATGTCGTCAGGTAGTCATGGTGTATCTAAAAAAGTATCAACTAGATAATGAATATTTTTGAGTTTAAATATGTTCTCTTCGAAGTTTATACACATATTTGAAATTTCACGGAAGTTTATAAAATAACCAAATGTTTTGGGTCACCCTTATTTAGAAATTTACAACCAGTATCGCCACTCTGGTAGCATTATAGCCAATGTTAAGGAAACAGTATATTTTGGTTCACTCTTATTTAGAGATTGACTATCAATTGGCCTGGCATGGCTAGGTGGTTAGGGCGCTCGAATCGCAATCTGCGGGTTCGAATCCTCCGTCACACCAAACATGCTCGTCCTTTCAGCCGTGGGGGCGTTATAATGTGACGGTCAATCCTATTCTTCATTGGTAAACGAGTAGCCCAAGAGTTGACGGTGGGTGGTGGTGACCAGCTGCCTTCCCTCTAGTCTTACACTGCTAAATTAGGGATGGCTCGCGCAGATAGCCCTCGTGTAGCTTTGCGCGAAATTCAAAAACAAACAGACTATCATTATTGCCACTCTTGTAGCACTTTAGGCAATGTTAATAAAAACAACATATTTTGGTTCACTCTGATTCGGAGAATGACTATCAGTGTCGCCACTGGTGAAACTCTAGGTAATGTTAAAGAAAACAATCACTATCAATTAGCCATGGAATATATTCTGTTTTCAAAGAAATCTATAAAAAGTAAGCTGATTATTTAATTTTTTTTACAACCTGCATGTAAAGTTTTAAGAAACAATATATAGACTTTCAAGGACTCTCTGTGGATCAGTTAAATGACTGACAGATCAGTGTTTACAATTTTGTGATATTTACGGCCATTTGAAACTGGAATATAACTAAAATGTTTATTAAAAACTTTACGAATACAGAATATGCAAGTTAAGTGAATCGAATTCGGATAGATTTTACAGATACGTTACTATAAAATCTTGATGTTACAAGAAATAACAAAATCATTTCCAGAAACTAACAAATATATTAACACGTGCCAAGAAGTGAGCAATAGGAAAATATAAAACAAAATTTAAAAATGCAAAGAAAAACAAGAGGGAATCCTCAATAGCCGCGGCACTTGAAATTATTTTAGACAGGATTAGAGTAAATTAATGTATAAGACCTTTATTTCACTTTTTATTGGCTATATTTTTGATCGTCAGCAATACCAAACGTGGGGCGCGCGTATACCCGATTCGATATTATTACTCGTCAGGATCTCTACCGGCCTACCCTCAAATTGAAATTATTTTACGCAGGATTTGAGTAAATTAATCTATGAGACCTTGGGCGTGATCAAATATGTCAATTGAAAGGGTTTGGCCTCCTGAGTCTAAAACTATAATCAGATCTCAAATCGGTCAAGAGATGACGTAGCAATGAGATAAAAGTTTGTACTTGAAAAACTCAGAGCCGTTCTATGAGCCGCTACGCCGCGGCTAAATACACAGATAAATATATAATACAAACAACTCGTATGTGATAATTGACATTACAGGTTATTATTCTAATTATATACAGAATCATGGGATATATCAATGATTTCATGGGCTATCATTGCAACATGTTTCTAGTTTTACGATAAAAAAAACACTTGTATAAACAAGAACGTGTTAGTTTATCACTAAATTATTTCCTATCGTGTATTGAAACTCTTATTTTGCAGTTTTTATACCAACTAGTTCACGAGACAGTATACATTACGTATTAGAACTGTTTTCAATCAATACAAGACAGATTAGCGATAAAAGTGTAGTTGGTCGTTACCGATAAAATAAATCGTGATTTGGAAGATCAAAAAGCACTGCGTATTGAAATCAGAAATATTAAATATATCTTATAAGAAGTGCTTTAGGTGGATTTGGTTTCTACCAGTATAAAAGTTTAACTTCTGTTTTTACACTTGGTTCAGTATAATTCATATTTATGCACGAGAAATTTGGACTTAGTAATATAAAAACACTAGTTTTCAAACTGCTTTATTTGTTATAATGGCAATACAGCTGCAATATAATTCGCTTTAAGCCGAAAATAAAATGGAAATTAAATCAAAACTGGATGTTTTTAACTGAATAAACCCTAATAAACAAACAGTGAACGAACGTGAAAAATGATTTTTCAATAATACCTTACCTTTTGAGCCCAGTAAACTGTATATTAACATTCATGGTAATCATTAGAATGCAAAATATGAAACAAATTACGTCAGGATTATATTAAATAATGAAACTGTTAATGTTTCTAACTTTTTTGCAATATAAAAGAGAAGGCTTAGTACCAGTTAATTTTCCGCATATATTTACTGTCGTTCAGATAATCAATCTTTCAAGAGTTACCATCATATACATGGTTATTATAAAGTTAATTGACCTCTTCTACTGCTCATAGCTCCAAAAATGATCATTAGTTAGCTATAGTATTCGTTAGGTGACGTATGGATATGATAGGAAAGACGATTCCTGTGTCAAAAATAATTGTTATCAAGGAGGCGATGTGGCGTACTTTGCATATCGGTGACTGCATAAGAACAGCACCTATTAGAATGTATTCTACTTGTATGAATTACTCCTAGAAATTTATCTATGAACATGAGAGTTGTTATTGTAACGCATTACTACAACCATAATATTAAAAACAGTAATATCGCCGTGAAAACGGAGAATGAAAAGGGCAATGTTGTAACGAAGCTTATAAACAAACATTAAGAAAGAGGATTGGTTGTTCTAGCTTGGAACATTTCATCATTCTTACACTTCAGAGAAGAGGAGCTTTGAATGAAACCGCCAATCTTCTTTCGATATGGAGCTCCACTCCACATTGTACGGACTGTTAAGACTCAAGAAATTGCTTCAGGGATCGAGTATCAACAGAAATTTTCCATAGTTATGACCAGTACGGTCTCCAGATCTCACCCTTGTTGATTTTATGCTATGGAGCCACCTGAAGTCTTTGCTTTGCCGTTACGCTTTCGCTGCCTTGAGAGACCTAAACGAGAGGGAATCCCCAACAGCTGCGGCAGTAATTAGATCTCAAATCGGTCAAGAGATGGAGCTATGAGCTAAAAGTTTGTACTGAGAGCCATTCCATGAGCCATTATGCCGCGGCTAAAAATTTCATACGATACTAAGTAAAGCGCAACTGTTGGAAGTCAGACACTATCATTCAGCTTTATATGACGTTACTCACGAATGAAAGTTATATTGTACGTGTATGGTGAAAATATTGATTATTGTTAACATGTTGGTTGAGCGAGCTTCGCAATCAGCGCCTTCTAGTGATAATTATTTTTGGCTTCGGATTCATCTTTTGCATAATCTGATTTGTTTTCTAAGTATAGACGTTAGAATAGGCCAACTAACTTTATAAGAACCCTATAGTTATCCTACATGAAAACTCTAGTGTTTATTCTAGCTGACGGAAAATATGATTGTTATAGCCCCCAGTGGCACAGCGGTATGTCTGCGGACTTACAACGCTAGAATCCGGGTTTCGATACCCGTGGTGGGCAG